AATAAAATAAAATAAAAGGTCAAGAAGGGAGAGGGTTGACATGTCATGGGGTTGTTAACCAATGTCATAAAACAATATGTGTACTACTGTTTAATGAGAAACTATTTGTTCTGTAAACCTTCACCTGAAGTACAATAAAAAATAAATAAATAAATAAAAACCCAAAAAATAAAAATGAAAAAAAAATATACTGACTGGTGCTAACCAACTACCAGTTGGGGCAGATTTGGGCTGGTATCTAGAATTAGCAGGAGGCCTCATTTTGTCTGGGTTAGGGCATCTATGGATCTTGCCCTGGTGCCTACCTTCTTAGGTGAAAAAGTTACTTTTTTGTGTGAACAACCTCATCTCAGATCTACGTATATATATTTTTAACTTGAACATCAGGCAGTTGTATATTGACATTTAGGGTCCTTATTCGGCCCCTGGAAGTCCTGTAAGCATCAACATTTCAGACAGTGTTGAAGGATTTGGAGGTCTAGAGACGACGGAGCTAGAATTGATTTCCATCTCACTAGTTACTGTAACAACGCATGCATTTCACAATCGCTGAGAATCTTATTTTAATCTTAGCTCATAAGTACAATGAAATGGTGCTACATATTTCACAGGGCTATTACAAGCATTGGAGCCCTGGTGGTACAGCAGTTAAGAGATTAGCTGCTAACCAAAAGGTGGGCCGTTCAAACCCACCAGCCTCTTGTTGGAAACCCTATGGAGCGCTTCTACTTTGACCTGTAGGTTTGCTATGAGTCGGAATTGACTTGATGGCAACAGGTGTGGGCTTTTTTTTTCTTTTTTTTCTTTTTGCTATTATAAGCATTGGATGAAATAATGTGTGGAAAGCATCCAGGACAGTGCCTGGTACTCAAAGAGACCAAGGGTACTGGTGTCCATGCAGATGAGTTTCATAAAAGGGTTCAAGACACACCCTTAATAAATGTCACAGTATAAGTATCCCATTTCTGTCTTTTTAAAAAAACTGTATGAATTATATTTGCTATTCAGTTTTATGTAGATATTATATTAGGGGGCTATGAAGAACTTTCAGAATTCTGAGAGTAACACCAATAGAATTAATGTAAGATGAAGGAGGTTAACGCTTTGTAAAATCCACCTTAAAACTGAATATATCCCAAATAAAAATAAGGTTCAGAAAGACCCCAAAATTTGATGTTTTTTAATGAAATAAGAAAGCTGTGACATAATAATTAATAACTTAAGGTCACTATGATTTGGAACTGATGTGAAGGCAGCGGGTTTGGTTTTGGTTTTTGGTACAGAAAAAGCTATTATTTATTTACTGCAATGTAGTGGTTACTATGAATACATTGTCATATTTAAACCACATAAAATCCTTATGAAGTAGATAGTGTTATTCTTGTTTTCCAGAAGAATCAACTGAAGCTTGGATAGTTTCAATAGCTTACTCAAGTTCACAGAGCTGGTAAATACCTGAGGTGGAATTTGAACCTGTGCAGTTTGGGTCCCTAACCTTCACGTTTAGTGGAGAGACGTAGGTAATAAATAACTAAACATAATCAAGATAAATTCAGGGAGTGAAGAGTGTTAAAAAGAAAAAAAAGTGAAACAAGTGATATGACAGAGAGTGACTTAAGGGAGGCAAGACCTGCTTTCGTCTGAGGGCACAGTGAACGAAGACTCAACAGGAATTTACAGTTTATCTAATCATGCCTAGGGATGTGAGATAACCAGCTGAAAGGACATGATTAAAACCATTGGAGAAGTGTTTCTGACAGTGGGAAGGGGAATTATATTTGACCTGAATAAGTATCATTATCTACTTTCCTATATTCTGAATTGAAGATCACTAACATGCTTAACTGTAATAATAATAATTTAGCTCTAAATTAAAACAAATAAAATAACTACTCAAGGCACTATCCCTACCCAGAAGACTTTGTGTCGTTTATGGCTGTTGCTCTCTTTGGTGGATTCTTTGGTGCACTCAGCAACATGGATCTCCACCTTACTTCCTCATGGTCGTCTTTCTTTATAATTGTGACCGTTTTTTTTCCCCATGTGAAAACTCTTTCAATCATGTGGAGTAGCCAGAATTAGCTGATTGGTACAAGAAAAGCTATCTGTTTAACCAAATTTACACTGAATTATTATTGACCTTTTTATGGCTATCAGGCCACACATAATCGCCACCCAACAAACATTCATCTCTTTGACTTCATCCGGTACCACTCTCTCCAGCGTTCACTGTGCTCCAGTTGGAATGGCCTCATTCTTGCCTTTGGGCCTTTGCACTTGCTCTTCTTGCTTCCCAAAATGCTCCTTCTTCAGATTTTGGTTCCTGTTCATCCCTTCAACCTGTTTGTTTTATTCTGTCTCTTTCCTTAATCTGGAGGTACACTGTCCTATCAGTGTCTGGAAATTTCAAAGCTCTTTTCAAAGTTGAGACCTTCCACAGGTAACGGTGCTTCCCATGGATGCAAATTCTCATCCTTTGGGTCTCAGTTTAAATATCACCTTTTAAAATAGGTCTTATCTGATTACCCTCTTTAACTACAGTAGCGCTCTCCCTTTATTTTCTGCCACAGTACCTGTCTGTTGTTTTAACAGCACTTAACCACAGACTGTAATTACTCTAATAAACCATTCTCTTATCTATTGCTTGACTCTATTACAAGAATATAAGATCAGTGCATGCAGGACCTTTTTCCTAATTTTTTTTTGTTGTTGTTAAATGTTGTATCTGCAGTTCATAGCATAGTATCTGGCACAAAATAGGTACTCAATAAATATGTTTTATTTAAATAATGAATGAATATTGGATAAAGAATTAATTATTACATCTAACTTGGAAATGAAATTCTAACATATCTAACAACACTTCCACACAGAATAAACTGAGTATTAAATAAGAGAGAAAGAAAAACTTGGTATGGTAAAGTGGGGAAATAAGTGATTAAATTCATAGTCACTGGAAGAAAAAGTGAGTGGACTGATATTTTATTCTTTAGTAGCAACATTTTTTCATCATGTTACGTCTTCCTGACCCTAATTATGTGATTAATCTATCAGCATTTTCACAAGTAGATGTTCTTTCAAAATTTTGTTGAAAATCCCAGTGAATTTAATTAAGCAGAAGTTGGACACACTCCAGTTGCAAGACTCAGTGATAAATGTAGTTAAAAGGGATAAAATGCCCAGTGATCTTTGCCCACATTGGGGAGAAGGCGCTATCCTCTTATGGACTGTGTATCTATTTCAGGAGATGCTTGGCTTGGCTTAAAGAATGATATAAAAAAGGCACAAGGATGTTCTTTTGAAATTTCAAGTACAACTATTTTAAGCCATATCAAACTTCACACAATCTCAAACACAACTAGTTTGGCCATATTAACACAAGAGATGAGATGGGAAAATTTCTGAATGCAAATTTTTCTCTATTGATTTGTTACCATCTTCTTATGTAGATATAGAATTTGTTTGCATTTTTGAAAATTCCTCAACTATGGAAAATTTTTATTTTTCTGTTGGCATCATGGAATTCCTTTTAAATAGATCTATAATGCAAGTAATAACAATTTCATGAAATATTTAGAAGACTCTGTGAAGAAAATGGACAGGCTTAACCATATGAAATCAAATCTATGCCCAAGAAAGAATGCAGCTTTATGCCTTCTGTGGTCATACTGGATTGGAAGAAGGATTTCCAGGTTCTTATGAGCTAAAAAGTCCCCCTTCAAATTATGAACAAGGCTCTAAAGGTAAGACTAAAAGTTTAGAGTGGAAACAGGCTTTACAACTGTGTGCCTGTCTTTATTATGTGGGAAATTATATCACTTGAGTTTGTAAGAATTGAAAAGTTCAAAAAACTTTTGCTGGCAGCAAAGGGGCTTCAAGGTCAATCCAACTTAAATTCTAATTCCAGTTCTGTCACTTGAAAATGTGTGGCCTTGTGAAAATGAACTAAATATTCTGAGGCTCAGTTTCTTAAACTACAAAATGAGAATAACAATGGTTATCTGTACTTCTGATGGTGAGGATTAAATATGATTATGTGTATATAAGATGTAGACATGGACATGGCATCTGATACACAGCTTGTATAACATATATAGGTGTTCTTGCCAGGTTATTATTTTCTTTCCTTAAATACATTTTTGTTTATTTCAATGGATCCAATGGAAAGAAAAATTTATTTTCTCACCTTATTTTCTGCATTAGTGGGATATAAACTTCTGATACATGCTGATATGCATAAATTGAAACTTCAGATATTTCATATCAAAATAAAGATTGATTATCCAAGATGGTCTGGGTACTTTGCTACATTTGTTTTTATACATTTTACTACATTAGATACAAAAATTCAGTAAAAGCTATCATAAATCTCATTTTATCAAATGTGCAAATTTTGACCCAAAGTGTTGACTAGCACTTAATTCAAGTCCCATATCTAGATTTAGAAAAGTATAATTATGCTGTCTTATATGAAATGTTTTACCATAAGATAGTATATATATATATACACATATACATGTGTATATTTGTACATACATATATGTACATACATACATACAAACCTGATGCCGTTGAGTAGATTCCGACTCAGAACTGTGCCATAGAGTGCAGCTGGTGGATTTGAACTGCTGACCTTTTGAATAGCAGCAGAACACTTAACCACTGTGCCACCAGGCCTCTATATATATATGTCTGTGTGTGTGTATATATGTATATGTATATATATATATGTAATCTTATGGTAAAAAATATATATACGTATTTCCTAAAACAAAAATGCTGTAGACAGTTTGAATAAACTAAAAACTATTTGTTTATACATGCATGTTAATGTTATGGTTAATGTAAAATCTAAGTACAATAGGCATTTTTTGTTTATTTATTTCTGTAGTGTATAAACTAGGCTATTCAGTTAAGAAAGAAACAGTTAAAAGCATATGTGATAATCAACTAGCTAAATGGAGACTTTCTCAAGGGTAGATCGGTACTGCAAAGTAAGAGGAAGGAAAGACTAGAAAGTTGCTGGTAAAGGTTTATATGATATTCATTATGAACAGACTGATAATTCTTAAATGAAGTCATCAGTCATCTTACAACATGGGGAGGTACATCCATTTGGAAGAGTAGGAAGGTAATGGTGAAAAGGCGATTCCTAAGTTGCCACCACCATTTCTGTCCTCTGATGATTTGACCTCTTAAATAGACTCTGAGCCTAAGAGTTACTGTTGGCTAGGAGACTACCTTCTTTGAAATGCTGGACACAATATAAATATTCTATAAATATTTGTCGACTGACTGTATAAATGAGAGCAGATATTTGTCGATATTTAACATTATTTTAGAGGTTAACTGTGATCTATGAAATTAGCATCTACAAATGAATAAATAGAAATAAGGAGATAGGAAAACATTTTTTGTATTTGAGACATAGCAAAAAGTCTGGAGCAGAGTGAACCTGGAGAATTGTAAGAGATGAACTTAGACAGTATACTGGATCCAAGTCATCTAGGGTCTTGTAGTTCAAGGTAGGAAGATTGGATTTTATTGAGCGTGTGACACCAATCTACTGTAGAGGTTCTGAGCAGGGAGGTGACATGATCTGAATAAGATTTAAAAAGGATCATTAGGACTGCTTCAGAAGAATAGATTGTTAGAGGCTAGAATGAAAGCAGACCTGGCAGGAAGCTAGTGTAATTGGCCAGTGAAGTAACAGGGAAAAGTGAGAATGATCAAATTCATGATACATTACAAAGGTAGAGTCAGCAAGATGAGTTAAGGTAGTGATAAGCAATGCTAGAAGAATAAAGGAGTTAAGGACACTGTGAGATGTTTCATCTGAAGAATAACATGGAAGGTGGTACCTTTTACTGAGATGCATAACACTTAAAAAGAAACAGATTTAGTGTGGAATATTTAACATTTCTTTTTATAAATACTAAATTGATATCAGATTGGAGATTTCCATTAGGTAGTTGCATATATAAGTTTGAAAATTAAAGGAGAAATAGGGGCAGAAGACACAATATTACAGTGCTTCAGTATTTATAGATCAGGAAAAGGAGGAAGATCCAAGCAAAGACACTAAGAAGGAGGTTCCAGTGGGTTAGGAGGAAATCTAGGACAGTGACTTTTGGTCTATAACCTTCCATTAATAAATTATTCTACAAACTTAGAATTTTTAAGTTACCTTAAGTGGTTGTCAGGTGTAATACTTTGGTGACTTTTTATATGCCAAACCTTTTCATGAAAGTCCTTTCACATCCGTTCTTTGTTTTCTCACGTCTCCTTTAAAGATCAGATAAATCACCGCTTCCTCTGGGAAGCCATTTCTGATCCCAGTTTGATTTAGATGTTCTTATACTATTCACTCTTAGTATCATGTGAAGTGAATTATAATGACACTTATTCCATAGATCATTAATAATCTGACACCATAGTTATGTATCGCATCAGTAGGGATGGGGTGCTATGTATTATTCAACAGGGTATCTCGATTTCCATAATAGGATTGAAATAAATAGGTGCTCCTTACTTTTTTTAATTAAATGAAAGAACAAAAGACAAATCTTATAATACATTTAAAAATATCTTAATCATTTTATAGGTAAACTGCTTGTAATATCTGAAATCAGCACCTGTGAAAGAAATGATGCAACCAAGGAACAATGTGACTTACTTTGTCCTCCTGGGACTCACACAGAATGCAAAGGAACAGAAGGTCCTTTTTGTTATGTTCTTGCTCTTCTACATTTTGACCATGGTGGGCAACCTGCTCATTGTTGTGACTGTAACTTTCAGTAAGACCCTGGACTCTCCTATGTACTTCTTCCTTGGAAGATTATCATTCATGGATGTCATTTACTCGTCAGTCATCTCCCCCAAATTGATTTCAGGCTTGTACTTTGGGAAAATGACCATATCCTTCAAATCTTGTATGATCCAGCTGTTTGGGGAACACTTCTTTGGCGGATCAGAAGCCTTTCTTCTATTGGCAATGGCCTATGACCGCTACGTGGCCATCTGTAAACCCTTGCATTATTTGGTTATTATGCGGCAATGGGTGTGTGTTGTGCTGTTGATAGTGTCCTGGGTTGCAGGTTTTCTGCACTCGCTCATTCAACTTAGCTGTCTTTATGGGCTCCCATTCTGTGGTCCCAATGTCACTGACCACTTTTTATGTGACATGTACCCCCTACTGAAACTCGTCTGTACTGACACTTATGTCATTGGTTTCTTAGTCGCAGCCAATGGAGGAGTAATCTGCATTATTGTATTTCTGCTCTTACTAATTTCTTATGGTGTTATTTTGCACTCCCTAAAGAACCTTAGTCAGGAAGGGAGGCGAAAAGCCCTCTCCACTTGTGGTTCCCACATCACTGTGGTGGTCTGCTTCTTTGTTCCCTGTATTTTCATGTATGCAAGACCTGCGAAGACTTTCCCCATTGACAAATCATTGAGTGTGTTTTATACAGTCATAACCCCTATGTTGAACCCCTTAGTCTACACGTTGAGAAATTCAGAGATGACAAATGCTATGAAGAAACTCTGGGGTAAAAAACGACTTCAACTGAGAAATAATCACAACATAAAATGACTATTTTTTAAAAGGTGAAGATAAAAGAAGACAATTTCTATGTTTCAAGGCCAAGTGAACACTATTTGTCAAAGGCAGTGTGATGTTGGCATATAGGTTCTTTGAGAAAATGCCCAGACAGGAAATTATTTATCACTATAAGAATATCTCATTTACATTTATTTATTGCCTATTCGGTTTTTGATCTTTAATGTACTGTCCAAATGAGGATTGTTGTTAAAATGCAGATTCCCAATACATGGCTCTAGACATTTTAATTCAGTAGGACTGGTGTGTTTACATATTCACATTTTCACCAACATATTTCTGGAACAGGTGATCTATGCACACACTTTGAGCAATAGTGTTATACACTATGTTAACACCCTTAGTAATTAACTGAGCCACCTTTTTAGGCATTTCCTGAGAAGTATCCTTCATAGCTGAAGCTATGAGAAACATGACACTCTGAAATATTTATAGATCATGTAATGCAAGCTCTCCACTCTTGTAACTGCAAAAAAAATATAAAATATTCTGAGCAAATAGCAATATTTTAGTTATTTATTCTCCATCTTCTCTTTCTGTGATTTCTAATCATCTGCCACATCAGGTCTGATTTGCTCTTTTTCTTTTTCAGCATTCAAAGGAAAGGTCTACCATTTATTCTTGGTGTATTTTTTGGACTAAAACTTATTTATCTTAACAAGTCATTCACATAGACAGCCTTACTTTCTTGGTTTTTCTGTGTAGGAGATTTTATGTAGCATTTCTTGTAGGTATAATTTAGAGGAATGGTTAAGAGCATAGTGTCTGAGTAAGACAGTACTGAGTTAAAATCTTAGTTTTGCCACTTACAGTGTGAACTTTGGCAAAACACCACCTCGTTAAGTTGCATTTAAAGAGGATGATATAAGTGAAGCAAAAACAAAACAATCCTTATAAAGCTCTTAGTATGCACTGAAAGTTCAATAAATCTTAGCTATTATAAACATTATTTATTACTTGGGTCTCTGAAATTGTAATGAAGCTACTCAACTTTCCCTGATTTTTTTTGTTTTTTTTTAATGAAATGTTAGAAGGAATGAGCCATAATTTCTCCATCCCTACTGTGAAAAACACTCTAAAAGCTTACTGGCCTGGTAGGAAGTCTTGGGGGCTGCAATTGGATCCAACCTCCTTGTATATTCCTCAGTGTCTCTCCTGGTTTTCTGATCTCCATTGGCCCAATGCCTCCAAGGGCTTACAACTGATACATCTGTGGGTCTGATTTTTTTCTGACAAGCTCTGTTTGAAAGACCTAGAAATCACTTTACTATGAACCTGAGGTCAACACACAAGGCAACCAAAATATAAACATATTTAAAACAAAGGGAAATATTTGTTCAGAGGAGGTAGTGTGGTGCAGTGGTGAAAAGCAGACTATGGAGTCAGACTTTCTTGGTTTGAATGTGATCTGGGAAAGTTATTTGACCTTTTTATGCCAGATTTTCTTTCCACCATAAGATGGTATTAATAGTACCTGCCTCATAAAGTGGTCGGGCCAATTAAATGGGTTAATATAGTTAAAGTGTTTATAACAATTCCTGACATGTTGTAAACATTCAGTAAGTGTTTTTTAAAGGGAAAAATTATTGACTGGTGCTGATCCAACTTCCAGTTGGGGCAGATTTGGGCTGGTATCTCTTCTAGAATTAGTAGGTGCCTCATTTTATCTAGGTCAGGACCTCTGTAGAGCTTACCCAAGAGTCTGCTGCCTTAGTTGAAAAAGGTACCTTGTTGTATGACCAACCGTGTCTCACATAGTTTTCTGCCTGAACTTCTGGCAGTTGTTTATTGACATTTAGGGTCTCTATTCAGCCTCTGGCCATCTTGTCAGCATCAGAGTTTTGGATGATGTGCCAGGATTTGGAGCTCTGGAGTCAACAGAGCTAGGATTGACTTCCATCTCCCTAGTTAATTTGCGGAGGAGCCCTCATTGTGCAACGGTTAAGCATCTGGCTGCTAATCCAAAGGTCTGCAGTTCAAACCCTGTGGTGTCACTAGAGTTGGTGTCACCTAGTACGGTAACTCACAGTGTCACCCCCCCCATGGATCTCCTCCTGTACCAGACCATACAGAATCCTCAGTAAAGTTTATTAGCAATTTTAATAATAGAATAATATGTGATAAATACAGTTGTGAATTGCTTACATGTAATACTTCATTAAATAAATACTAACAAAATTGGTAAAATCTTTTTACATTGAATTACAACATCATTAGTAAGTGAGCGGAAGCCTTTTTTAAATTTGTTTCCTTTAATTACTATTTCATTCTCCAAAAAATTATTGATGTAGGTTCACAAATACTAATTACCACAATATTGTAGCTAAAATGCCAGAAAATTTGACAAAATCAGCCACTATAAAAACACAGGCAGCGACAAAAACAGTAGTGCATGCTAGTAGCACATGCAGACAAAACCATGGGATTCGAGGTGTCATTGTAATTGGGTAATAATGACAGCTCTGACTGGAGTGCAGTAGAAGGGTTAAAAAGCAAATTAGCATAGAGTTTGATACGTGTAAGTTGGGCTTACGAAAAATGTTTTTATTGTTATAACTAACCACAGGGATATTTTTACAAAAAATAAAAAATTTCTATTGAAATGCTGCACAAAAACTTTATAGACAGTCATTTTGGTGTCATCTCCTCTGACAGTGTCATCCAGTGCGGTGCCCACCCCCTGAACCCCCGTAGTGATGCCACTGTTTACACCCACCAGCGGCTCCACAGGAGAAAAGACCAGGGGATCTGCTCCCATAAAGATTAAATCAAAAACCAAACCACTCTGAGAAATTCAGAGATGAAAAAATGCTATAAAGACACTTTGGAGAAGAAAAATCATATTAGGTAGTAAATAAATGTTTCGTCCATCATGAAGAGAGTTATTTGGATTTAGGGCACATCCTTGGAATCCCGAAATCTTATTAAATCTGATTCACCCTTCCCTTTCCTTGAAAGCATGTATTATATTTGCATTTAAAGAATTAATCATATGATTGGGCTATTAACAAAAGTTTATCTGCTGGAATGTAAGCCCTATAATGTCTTGCTTATCATTGCATTTAGAAAGATTTAATGCATATATGTAACCAAAAGACCTACTGCTGTCGAGTCATTCTGACTCATAGTGACCATACATGACAGAGTGGAACTGCCCCCTAAGGTTTCCAAAGAGTGGCTGGTGGATTCAAACTACCAACCTTCTGGTTATAAGCTAAACGCTTAACCACTGTACCACCAGGGCTCCAATGCATGTATAGTAGGGAGTCAATAATATGTAATGCATTAACAAATGAAATTTTTATACAGTCACACTGATTTTTAATTAATTTATGCATTATCTTTATTAATTTCTTTCTAAGCCTAAGTTTTTTTAATACTAAAATTATTGTCATTTATGTTCATTCTTTTTATTATGCCAGGGAAAGTATTTAATGCTACATAGTCTGTCCTCTTTATTCAGTTTCAGTTGCATTGCATGGGATTTTTAAAATGTCTAATGTTTCTTTTTTTTAAAAACAAAACAATTGAAAATGTAATAATAATAAATAGTAAAAATGAAAATCACACCAAACGGTCTAAAGTAAGAAGTAAACTTCCTATCCATCTCTCACGTTGGTCTCTCAGTGCTCCTTCCTGGAGGCAGTCGCTGTGCTGTTTCTTAAGATTATTCAAGTAATAATCTTTGCAAATACAAGTATAGTTACATACATGCATGTGTGTTTATATCTGTATATAAAAATTTGCATTGTATGACTCTACGTCTTAAAGATCTTTCTGTACCCGTGCCAGTGCCTATAGATCTAATTCATTCTCAGTTATCATCATACTGCATAATACTCCCTTATGAAGACTTACTAAGGTTAAAGTATCCAGTCTTCCTCAGGTTGCTTCCAATCTTTTTTTATGACAAGTAGGTCTGTATTGAATGTATGTGTTTCTGAATATACAAAAGTATGTGTTCGCATGGTGGAATTGTTGAGTCAAGTGGCGTATGTATTTAAAACATTGATGCTTATATTTATAACCAAAATGCCATCTGTGAAGTTGTGCTTTTCTAAAGTTTACTTTATACCACTTTGCTTTTACAAAAGACCTACATTAGTACCTGTTTGGAAACCAGACCAATGGGTCCGTGCCCAGCGTGCAAGGAGCCAATCTCTCAGACACTGGTTTTGAGAGGAAGAAAGAGTTTATTTCGCAGGCTAGCAAGTGGGAACTCGGAGGTATCGACCTCAGATAGAGTTCCTTGATTTGAGGAAGCATTTACGTTTTATAGGTTTGAGGAATTATACATATGCATACAGGGGTGGAAGAAGGCAGGTGGACAGGATCAGGAAGTTCTACATATTCGTAGTTACCATTGATTATTTACTGCAGGGCGGGGCTAAGACTTGGCATGGTGGCAGCCAACAGGCTCTTCGCTTTTGAAATGGGCTTGGCTACTGCAGGTGGCATATGTCTAGTGATTATGGTTCTTTAACATGAGTCTTTTCATTCCTTGGCATGTGTTATTGAGCATACATGGCTGCCCAGGACCGTCTGTCCATCATCTTTTTCTGTTCTATGCATGTCTGACCACTCTGAGCTGGTTAGATCTGGATCCCTCCAGGGCTCTCCAGAGAGTCTGCAAAACAACTTGGAGGAAGTGAGTGACCTGGTGGGGAGGTGACTGGGAGTGGCCTGATAACTGGTGGAGTATGAATTCATTAGGTGTCCTCCGCGTCTAGGGTCCCCTAACATTTTTACTAACCAAAAGAAATCCGAAGATTTTCGCTTTTAGGAAGAAAGGCAAAAAGCGGAAATAGCGTTCAGAGTTTGCTTTGCAGTGAGCCGTTATAGAAGCAGCACGCACCCGCAGCAGGGAGAGTGGCCTTGCCAAGCTTTTTTCCTGGGAACTACCCTCAGCATCGCAGCATCAAGCCACCATAGC